TTGGCGGAGCAGATCGCATCTCAATCTGACCTTTCCAGGCTGTGAAGAAGGCGAAACCGACAAAACGTCAGCTATTGTATAATTCCTATAATAACAACCTCGTTTCTGCTTATTGAAGAAGAATATAGGATGGGATTTATTCAAATCCTGAGGAGGCTTTGGGAAAGACCTCGTCATCGGCAACATCGATACGATATGCTTATTCAATATTTGTACGTTAATGCCATGAAAGCCGAGAATTCTAAAGTCACTATGAGTCATCTATTTTTGTCCTCTTATTCTCTGGAGTTGCTGAAGCTAGGAACAGTATCTGAAGCACATACCGAAATTACGACATTTACCAGGCTAAATCGATCACACTTCAACTCGCAGGTGGATCACTTATGGCTTTCAAAAACGCAACAGAGAAAATTACCCACAACCACTTCTCCAGTCTCAACAACAGTAACGTCCTGCTGCGTCCATACGAATTTAGCGGGAATGGACATGTCGTACAAACCGTTGTCCATCCTGTACTCTGACGTGCTATGAAGAGCTGTAGAATACCCGGTCTATGCAGAATTAGACCTGAGGATCTGAAGAATCTAGAAGAAGAAAATCTAGAATTACTAGTGCATATCAGCAAGCCGGATCTGGTTTTCGCAAATCGTCTATCACAATTCAAAGTTCTAATCAATGGAAGACCATTGAAACAGTGGTGCTGAATAAGAGAAGAAACCTATAAAGCATTGGCAGCAATCCGTTGCTGCAGACTTTCTTTCACCTTTAGCGAAGCAATGAGCTTTAGTTCCAAAGTTTGACCAACAAGACACCTAGTAAGTGTACAAAGATTGTTGAGCTATGTAGTAACTAGAAAACCAAAATACCGCCATTGTACAACGACACTAACGTTGATGTAGAAAAGATTCTCAACAAGACCAGACTATCTTCCCAAATTTACTGTTATTCACGAATACCTCTGAGAAATTGCGACGACTGGAGTGGGATAAAATGGGTGTGAAAATCGATTATTGGGGAAGTCTAACATTTTCGCCTTGTCGATGGTGCCATTCTTACAATATCAATAATTAGCCACAGGACATGAACGATGAACGATTTCAACACGCCTGCGGAAAGACGTCTTGAAATCGATCTTACCAAGACAAATGAATCCGTTATTTATGCTAATCCGAATGCATGACTAGGAACGTTACATCTATGTGTATCTCCATCGAGAGGTTTGGGTGGTGAGAGAATTAGCGCCAAGGCAGAGCAGGAATAAGAGAGCGGCTTTCAACGCCATCGACGGTATTGTAAAGTGAACTAAGAAACAGATGGTTTTGTCTTTAGGGGCGCTATGTAAGCAATATAAAAAAAAATCACTCAGCGCTGTTGGTCTCACAGACCTAAGGCTTGAAGCATCCTCTATCACGCAAGTGAAAAAATAAACAACATCTCAATCCAGGTCGGAATAAGAACTCGTACAAAGCAAAGATTGGAAGAACTATATCTACAAGGTGGAATATAGTGCGTCTTAATGACAACAGACCACCGAACCGATGTTCAAAATTCATGGCGAATATCCCAGAAGAAAAATATAAGGCGCAGCGAATCCCTAGAGATGACCAAAACCTATTGGATACTCTCGCACACGCTAGGGACCGCATGCGTCTTATGTGACTTGCTGGTTTTTAGTGCAATTCTGCTTGTGGAGACAAAGAAATAAACATGTTTTTATCTTAATTTCACAGCAGAAATTCGAGAAAGAGTTTACGGCTCATTATCCACTTTACTAAAGCACACAAATCTTCGGTAGTATTATAAGTGGCCTGTTGGATTATTTGCTGTAAAATGGAATGAGAACACTGACCTCGTCTGAACACATTCTTCTGCACGCCTTCCAGTCCTTGGCAAAACTGCTGTCAATTGACTCACTTCCAACAGAATTCTCAAACACCAGCCAAATTGGTACATGGCCAACCGAACAGCCTTAATTTGAAATGTAACAATTTTCGTCAGAAGTGCTACTACTGACTTCTTGAGCACCTCAATCCCAGTTTACTAATTGGATTATCGGTCAACCATAACATAAAATATCTTGCAGCTGTCGTAGAATTTGCCTAATACAGATTGTCAGTACCTGTATCACTAGATACAACAGCATAACCGTCCAGTGGTCGTTGGTAGTCCATCCTTTTGTCATCGGTTGCCGAATTCTTCTTATTGTTGATAATATTCAAGAAGGAACGAGCTTTTGTCAAATATGGCGGTTCCACCTTTACCAACTACAACAAAAATTTGCGAGGATAACTGGAACTACGAAATCTGTCCACAGACACATAGATTTTCATAATAAGAGCCCACCTTGAGAGATTCTTGATGCCTTCTGATCTCTGCCCTATCTTTTTTCCTATAAAAGAGGTGGTCATCTGAGAAAGGGATCCTTTTCACGGGGAATTTCTAAAAAATCATTTTCAAACCATATCCGTTACAAAAATCTGGTAGTTTTGTCCACCATTCTTTTGCTGTCTTGTGGTGATACCGTTCCAAAGACCAGCGGTGTTGTTGCCCTTGTTTCTGATTCCAAGAATGGCAACGGAGCATATCCTCTGTCCAGAAGGTACTGTACATATCTGTCTGGATACATCTCCTTGAACATTTCTGCAAGAGAACAAGCATTTTGCAGTTTTAGGTACATTAGCAATATCCTTAAATATTGGGCTTACCAAGCTTTTCATGTAATTTCCGTTTAAGACTTTCCTTTTCCTCCGTGCTCAACGCGGTCTCCTTCGTTCGCCTATCGTCTTTTTTCTGGGAGCACCAAGTATAATGTGAAATATTGCGCCATTAAAACCTTCGTGTATTGATCAGTTCAAACGGGTGCTTGGAAGTTAAGCGACAAAACACAAAACATCTATACCTCTGTGGATTGAAACACTTGAACGAAATATTATCTTGAAATAGTACTACCTCACGAAGCTGTTCATCTTCAAAGTTGGGACTACCCGTGGTTTTCATCACCTGCTCTCGCGACGATTTCCATCTGAAATCGACGAACATAGAATTTGGAAAGATTGCTGAAAGAACGATAATAATCTTTCACTATTTGGCATAGTAGCAGTAAAAAAGAAAATCATTTACAACGGTTCAATGTTTGAGGAGGAATTCAAAAATGTGCGAAAAAAAACATTGGTGGAGGTATAGCGGAATAAGTCTTTTAATACACGCATAGCACTGGGCTCAACGTCGGCGTATCCCACTCTAACTAAAGCTCCATCTTTTCGAGGTCCGAAAATTGGTGTAGGATTTTTCTGGGGGCATAAAAGCACTGAGGCGATGAATCGGCAAGTCTCTCTAAGTCATTGTATTGATCATAGACATTCAGTCACCTCTACGATGCTTAATAGTATCGAGTTCTTAGCCCAATTCATCGTCAAAGCCGAAGTTTACATTTTCTTATTTTTTATTACGGAATCAAAAGTGTGTGTAATGTCGAAAATTTTCAAAAGAATCTAATATTTCTCTTCTACCTCGATCTCTTTCAGAGCTGAACAAACCCAACCTCTGTTCTCCATATTTCTTCTCTTGATCCATGTCTCCGATAGCCTCGCCCCGATCGGGTCTTGCGAGTTGAGAATCCTGGACGGCTTCTTTAAAAAACCGAGCCATTATACTAAACTGTGGATCCACTATTGTTCTTTTGTATTACGGTAATGTGACCTCTTTGTTGTGGGTATCACAAATATTGCCTACAAACAACGGTGTCACCAAGCAACTACCTGTAGATGTGCCTTCACTTGTGCTTGAATGATCCGTTGCCGTTTCGGTGAAGTTTTGAGAAGAAGTAGAAAAACCATCTCTTTCCTCAAAACATTTCTTCATAGATTTTTTAGCACATATTTTTTTATTTTCAAGAGGATTTTTTTGTTTTTGAATTCCATTTTCCTTGTCTTTGCTAATGAACTTAGAAGATAACAAGAATAAACGGATGAAACAGTTTCTCCTTTTTTTCGATCCTATGCATTATTTTATTCTTGCTTGCTAATTGCTCTACGGGGGCACGTGTGACGCAGGGGTAGGAAAACTGGAATAGAGTTGTCTGGAAGGATAGCAGAACTTACTCGATATATCGGTAGGCCACCTGGAGTCATTTTAAGGGCTAGATATGCATTTAATCACCTCCAACAATGCTTAATTAAGTCGAATGCATGCCGCATCCAACAGGGATTGAGCAACGCAGGGAACTTTTCAGAGGTTCTAATTACTCTATGCCTCGTTTAATTATAGAAGCACCCGCGCTTCCGCTTAAGCTTAATAGTGTTGTTATCAAAATACAACAACCGCTTGCCAGCTCTGTGATACAATAAATAGCAACATACAACGCTAGATATGGCAGTGAGCGAAACGACGAACTGCTTCGTCGGTACTGTGGAAACTGACTGTCCTGTAGTGGATTCTTTTGGATTCTCACCGAAGTTGTTGACTTCACTCGTTTCACTCGGAGACGATGCGTAGCTTTCTAAATATTAGCATAGGTGCAGATGATAAAGTGAGAGAAAGCAATCTCTGTCATGCTTCGAATTTTGAATACCGTCATTTGCTTCTCTAAAGTCACTGGCACACTTCCCTTTTCAAATGTCACCAGAAACATTTTTAAATGTAAATGGATTGCATGCACCAATTCACTGGTTGCTTTGGAAGTCGATCCTACCAATTACTGATTACTGTTTAAATATATCTAAAGCAGTAGTTGATAACTGATATGTTTGTGGTTAATCCTACTAAATAACTGTGTGAGCCTGATAGAATCTTCATGCGGCCTTGGTGTCTTGCTTGTTAAACAGAGTTCTTTTCTCTGGATTCCCGGAAAAACCATGCCAAATCATACCCAAGTTATTCTTGTTGCCAGTTGCAGGTCATGCGGATAGATATAAGGCTTAAGACTAGATTTATTGCTGATGGCAATGCTCACGGCAGAACCACCCAAGCTTAGAAGGTGTCCAAAGTTTCCATTCGAAAGCCTAGCTATGAGTAAACTAATGCTAGGATTTTCACTATGGTCCTGGTACCAAGCCAGTCGCGTGATGGCAAATCTCCCACTAATCCACAATCGCGGGAACTGTTTGGGGTAGTGACGACCTGAGGAGGTGAGTTGCAAACAACTCCTCCTTCGCAATGCCAAAATTTTGTATTTTTAATTTGACCTGAGAAACTCTGAAAGACCTAAGCATGTGCCGCTAACAACTTTCAGATAAATCATCTTCGCCGCTGGAGCTGTAAAGTCGTAGCCGTCATCGAGAAAGAAATGACAAATGTGCTGTACGGCGTCATATACGATTGAGCGGCAACGTGACTGAAATGTATCATTGTTGAACAGGAGAAGTACCCATAATCCATGAAACTATTTTGCCTAAACCAAGGCGAAACTAAAGAGAAAAAGTGTTGGAAGCAAAAGAAAAAACAGGTTAACAAATTAACAAAGGGGCGAGAAGCGGATGTTTTCATCTATCAAACACGGCTACACGCTAACGTTCTGAACCTGAAAGTATGATGTTCATCCACCACTGTTAATGACTCTATTCTGAAGCAGACAGTGAAGTTCTCATCAACTGAACAAGATTTCAGAAACTTCTATGGGATGTGATTAGGTGAGTATATATGTATACTACTAGCACGAGAAGACTTACACTGGTATCGCTACAGAACTGTAAGCACCGTTCTTCACTTTTCATTCGCCACTCGCTGTGGTATGGCTGTATGTTGACGAGACGATGATTTGGATAGCGTTCGAAGCAAGGTCGTAGTGCTGCAATACATTATTCCTTCTTACATAATTGTTTTAATTTGAAAGGTTTTGTGGCTTTGAAGTGTGGTTGTAACAACAGTCAGAGGTACTTTTAAACACATATGTGGTCATTGGTTCGATTTCACATCCCGTGTTCAGCAAGTCTTCCACCCCTCCGCAGTTGGAAAGTCGGTACCACATTTGTCTGGGAGGATAGCAGCACTGGCTCGATACATCGATAGGCCACCGCGAGTTGTACATTCATTGTACAGGGTACGTATCCATTCAGTTACCTCCAACGGTGCTTAATGAAGTCGAATGCATAGTGTGTCTCGCAGGGATTGATCAACGCCGAGCGCTTTTTTATCCTTTTAAAATGACCATTGCTCATTTTTGCTGTGGGTCAAAATTCTTCCGCATTCCAGAAACCCCATAAAGCTTAGGACGACGATTCCGATCGTATGAAAACGCGTTAGCCCTTTAATGGGCAAATAACTTTTCCTGTAAAAGTAAAATAATTTGCTGCACAGCACAAACCGTGAATTCGATAACTTGCCCAACGGCAAAGAATTTGCCCTTTTTGTGAACTATAGTATTTGTTCGAGACAGTCTTGTTCAAACACTACACGATTACGACTACAAAAAAACAAAAATCTTTCTGGTTACTAAATCCACTTCCACGTGGAAATGTGCACCAACTTTAGAGGTGCGCTGTCCATGCATGAATTGGTGTTTTCTGAAGCAACTGCGAATGTAAGGCATTTGTTGGGCGTAACAAGGAAATTCAATCGAGCAGGATGTTCATAAAGCGGATCATGGACTGCGACAAGGCTTCTGACTAAGTTCATAATAAAGCTCAACTTTTTATCTACTATTATTTTTTGCCCATTATTTTTAATGCCTTCGTATTGTGAAAAATACAACCACAACGGTGCTAAGGTATCTACGAAACTGGGACTCCAGGCAAGAATCAAATCCGCGACTATCCTTTCCTTTCCTGCTACGAAAAAATTGTAGGCAGTGAATAAAAAGTTAAACAATGCTATTTTAACTGTAGTGTCAGCTTAACTGAGTTCAACGTCGATTTGCATTTTCCAGATCATTCCCGTTGATGGTTGACTGCTGATAGCTTTGTCAAGGTAAAAAGCTGACTGGTCTGAACTCCGCGAGTGCTTCAGCATCATTGAAAGTTCTTGGTAGTTCTAAGATCACCGTTATCTTTACATTTTACACCACCCGTCGTCACATTTACTGTGCGAATTCCGGCACTTCTTGCATTCGTTTCGTTTTCCCGCATCCGACATCCACAGTGATCTTGAAACATTTCGCGTGTTATTTCAGCCGCCATTTGAGGATTTCGACTTGGTCACGAATGTCATTGAATGCTGTTCGAGTCGAACCTCCTTGCAATCTTGGAAATAGCCGAGCTAAGGCATTCTCACGTTATTTGGGAAAAAGCGTTTTGCGGGGATCGGACTAGCGCCTCTGGTTCCTGATTAACAGGATCACTGAGCACTGCGCTATTCCCGCCTCATACAAACACCATAAAATTCGTAAGTTACTGCTTTTTTAGTTCTTCAAAATATGAAGCAGCACTTCAACATCTGTCCATTAAACTCTCCTGGCTCCAATATCCGGTTGTAGTTATAACCTTGCTGATACAAAACTGTAATAACGTTGTGTTATCTTATCAGTACGATGAGGTATTGACTATCCGTCAAATGCAAATCGTGTTTAAAAAATACTCTCTGGTTTGGTAAGCTGTTTGCCTATGGATTCACTTCTCAGAATTCCTCAGATATTGTCGTACATGGTACCACTGTATGCGCCAAATGCAGATGAAATAAGGATCCGTGGAAGCTTCACGCAGGCACATCCTCATTTTGCTTAAATATCAAAAACCGTACTGATCTGATTAACGCCCTTAGGAAAGCCGATAGCATCCAGATGATCGAGCGTATTCGTCAATAACAATACCTGGCCGTTCACGGTCCTTCCCAAAGATGATAAATTAGCAAGGTAAGGGTAATTTCCACTGGACTCAAATTCCAATGCTGCGCCCCCTGATAAATATACATAGCTTAATAAGATTCTAGGTAAAAGTATTCAACAAGTATCCTTTTTAAACTTTTGACACAAGTGGATCAATAAGTTAACACATGAAAAGTACAAAATTCCAAACAGTTTAAAAAATTTCTTGTTGTCAATTCCTGACCATGTAGGAGAAATTTAGTGCTGCATTACTCGAGCATCCCAAAATAAGTGTTCATTTTAACAAATAGGCGATCAGTGATTTCTTGGAGATGAAAAAAGCCATGAACTCCTCCGGGATTTAATCATGGAAAAATCTTGCTTTCTTTCGAGAATAAACGATGAATTTTCGACATACAAGCACAATGGTGCTGGGATAATTGCATAACTCCGGACGGCAGGTGTCTGCGGTGGGAAATGAACGCGCTATTACCTTTTCCTGAGCGACAGGCGAAACGAAGGACCAACATGGCGTGGTGGTGAACCGCGCTCTCTCCTGAAAGTTTGATAGGGCGCTCGTTCCCCGCAGCAGACACCCGCGATCCGGAGTTTTGCGTAATATCCTGCCTTGGAAAATTGTAGAAGGCAGCAAATAAAAAGCTGACGTTGCGAGCTTCCAACAGTTAGAAGACTTGTTGGGGTTCAGAGTATTATGAAGTCGTAAATCATAGAAAAGCCTTGCTTTGGCCATCTAGAGGTAGAACACCGTTACTCAGTGTTAAATTCTACTATATTTCAGCTGCCAAACACATTGCTGTCAGAATTTTGACGGATTTTGTCACTTACAAAGCAAAAGTATTTCGGTACTTTTTGCAGCCGACCATTCCATACGATAATCATGGTCTTTTGTGACAACTGGAAATGAAAAAAAAACCGTGAATTATTGGACAAAAATTGAACATTGTATGGGCCACATAAGCGTTAGTGACAGTTCCGAAGATCGACTTTCCATTAACCTCATCATTGGATTATAAGTGTGTCGTTTTCTTTTTCAGCAATCGCGAGGTTGTTATACAGCACACGTTTACTTACGTAGAAAAAGAACACATTCAACACAACGATAGCTGACGCTTCGGCAGTACGGCCTTCTTCAGAGCCTGGAAGGGTACAGGTAGAAAAAATTAACTCCAGATAGTTTTTGGCCACTAAAGGATTTACGAAGTTGACAATCTAACAAACTTGTAGGATAGATTTTGCTCTACCAAAGCACAAAGAAGTAACAACTTTCTTCAGACGTAAATTCCATTTCAAGTTTATTTTGATTCAAAACCTTCAACAAAAGTAATTTTAATCGCAGTCACGTCAAAAAATTTGGATCTTGTTGGTGAAGATGTAATGATTCTGGTAGTTTTTATTTCTATTGACGAGTTCACGAATAGATATGCTTGTTGAAAGCGACAGTTGTTTTCTGGCTCTTACGACTTGAAAGTGAAAATCGATCAATGGATCCACAAAGTGGCAGTCTCAATAACTGGGATGGATTTGGCGAGAAGCGAAAGTGATTGTTCTATGACGTTTGAGGAAAATTCTAGGAGATCCGCTAGAACAGTGTACAAGGCGCACGCATTCTTGTGAGTTTATCGTTTATTCTATGCTTCATCTATCGGTTTCTCCCTTCCGTTCCTCAAGTTCTTTTCCATCCATCTCATCATTTTATCAGCTGGTAATGATTTTGACTTCGATTTCAGTCTTGTTCTCAGCCAGTAACTCAATGAAGGAGTTGGAGATGATGAAAATTTCGTGGAACTCTTTTCCCCTTCTTATCGATGAGACTGAAAAAATCGAAAGGAAGAATGAAGGTAAACCTGTCGATGGTGTTAGTGGTTAGTGGTCAGGCGATACAATGTCGTACAACTCCTTTTGTTCGATGGAAGACCGATACAAGCGGATAATTAGTAGATTGGTGCACGGAGCTGAGAGCTTTATATTCAACTGTGTATGACTAATACTTGGGAACTAGGCTTGAACCAGATGAACAGTCAAACCAATTGTCCACTGTTATCAAACCGCCGAATAGCGGCCAGATGGCAACGCAAGGGAATCGAATCGGTGTAATAGTGTTGAAGTGGGAAAATAATAAAGACGTTATTATGCTGGCCACACTTTACGGTGCGTTTCTTCCTCCCAACTCATTAAAACTAAAGGTGATTGAAAGTCACAACCAAGAGAAGATTTTCATGGGCACAGGTGGTCAGATCGTGGCCTATTGCCCATTTGTTAGAAGGACCATCAAGTACATATCTGTCTATTTACTTGTATGGTCTTATAAACTGATCTTCTTTAGCTGATGCCAAGTTGGTATAGGTATAGATCAACCAAGCTGGTGGTTGTCGCTGTCGTTGTTGTTGGTCGATGGCTGACGTTTCGGTGATTTCGTCTTCCTCAGAGCCGTGATGTTACGAGTGGGACTCCAGTGGGAGTCATATACCAGCAGTTTCGAGCTGATTACTGGTAAGTCTATTTGGAAGATCCCTAGGTGCTTGAGCGAGTGTGAACTCCAACAAAGAGCAACATCCTACATACGCTGGCATGCAAGCGGATTAAGGTAACGAGACTTTGTGTTTGTAATGCTCTTATAGGTTGACGGAGATTATCGTGTTCGTGGTTGCAGTGGAGCAAATACGGATTAAATTCCGTGCGACGAATCAGCAAGAATCCTCTAATAGTACCAATGAAATGCACATGAGAGTTCTTCCGAACTCGTTTGTAACAAGGAAAGTCAAATCTATCCCAAGAAGGGCCCAACAAAATGCTGCAAATATACTTACTTCGTTAGCGCAGGCTGAGTTATCCTGGCTATCACATGGTTAAAGAAAGTGTTTAAATTTAGAGACTATCACACGAAAAATATAATACTCAGAGTGTTCAATAGACTGGCTTAGCCAACTGGGCAGCTCTGCTGTGTGATAAGGATGAGTGATGCCTTCGCAAACTCCTACTCGATTTGTTCGTTGATTAGTACTGACATAAATGATAAAGGATTAAGCGCCAGGCGTTGATCAATCGTTGAAGAATGCACCACGCACTGGACTCATAGCAGAGGTGATTAAATGCATGTCTGACCTATACAACGGTTTTCGATGGTTTGCAGCAGAAGCAAGTCAGTGCTTTTATCTTTCCTGACAAGCGTGTCACCAATTTGCAAGCACTAGAGGAATGCACGACTTAGTGTGCCTGAGGCTAGGAATCTAATCAGCGACCACTCCAATGTCTATTGCAAAGCACCTCAAACCACTAAGCTACAAGCTCTCCCATACATAATATGCAGGCCTTTTTATCCTATTATACTTAGAAGCCATTTTTGAAGTGACGCAAAAACTCCTCTATTGATCTACTAGGAAGAGTTGAGCGTTTCGTAGAGATGGTGGAAAACTTTCAGAAGTAATGTTTCCATAATAATCTTCATATCTTTCTCCTTGTCCAACTTCTACAACTGCAAACCTTTGACCTGGAACTAATTCGTGATGAGCGGACCTAACACACGCAAGTTTTAGTTCAACACGTTATCGTGGTTTATTTATTATTGATTCACATAATCTGTTAAGGGTTAACCAAAGTTGTGAAAGTCCGCAAGAGATTTGAATCATCTTCTCGTCTATTACCTTTGAAATCCGATGGTTCATATGAACTCGACTATCGAATCACACTGCAAAAGTCTTAACTCTCCAGCGATTTCATTTTCATGGAAAACGATTAAGGATGATTGAAACAAGTTTCGGCGGCGGTGGCTTCTCAACGAAAGTGGAAGTCGCCTCCTCGTTGATAAAAGCAAAATTCCCAACAAACTCCGGAGAATAACTATTAGTTTACTCCTCAACTCCCATAAGTTTCTATGTGAAGGAACTGTAGATTTGGCATAAGGAGGAGGCATCGGAGTTTTCAATGGTATCATCGAAAGCATTAAGCTTCTCATAACTTTTCGGTCTTCTTAAAATGCTAATGAATACAAACCAACGCATGGACTTCTCTTTTTTTTTCTTCGTTTAATTTGATATTACTGCAAATATAATTGCAAATATATGTGATTCTGAGAGCAATCATAGTTTAACAATGTTTGATTATTCTATAAAATAAAAGAATAGAGCTCTCGGAGTTGACCAATCCCTGAGGGAATGCGGCATGCTTTCGACTTCATTAAGCAAGAGCCGTTGAAGAGGATTGAACCTATATCTGGCCTTTACAATGACTCGCCGTAGTCTGACGATATATCAAGCCACTGCTGCTATCCTCCCAGAACCGTCTGGCACCAACTTGCCGACTCTGGAGGGATGGAAGACGGCTGGGCCACGGGCGCAGGGATCGATTCCACGTGTGTGCGTTTATGTCCAAAGACTTTTTCTTTTTCTAATAACAAAGCCCCGTTGCTTTATCAATGTAATAAGTAGAACAGTACTCTTATGGGATTTCACTTAACTTCGATTCTAACTTATCTACGATTTTTGTTTTTCTTACAACCTCACACGAGTACATTGTACAGCATTTATTTGTTCTTTCTTGATGTTACAGCACATCGTTCCTGTTTTCAAGAAAGAGAATACCGTAGCTTAAAGAAGTATTTAACAGTACTGAAAAACTTAAAAAGCGCTGCGCACTCAATTTACTACGCAGCTGTGCTTTTTCAGACCTTCCTTTGAGTGGTTGTAGTCAGAAGACTTTCACAGCTTATATTGAGAAAGTTACTTTAGCTAGCACATACGCTGCGGTTTTTGACGCCTTTCTAAATGATGCTCGGAATTTAAAAGAAAACCAAGCAAAGATGTTTTGCCTTCGCGTTTTCGAGGTGATTAAGGAGTTTAAAAGCACTTTTGCTGACGTTTCTTACCAACATCGTTTCAGACTAGAACTGAACTAACCTTTAGGATCCACAGAAGCTGTGGTTGAAGCGATGAAGACCAGTAGAATCCATTGAGGCAGCATTAAAACTTAAAGTGTATAGAGAATAGAAAGCTGCAACGTTTCGTTCTCAAGAACGCAGCTCTCCAGAGGTGGGCGAGATGACCTAATTTGAAATGAATAACGGATGGATATCATTCGCACTGCGTTCGCTCGATGATCGCAGTCGAGACAACATACATTCTGCTCCTACCGTCCGATTAAGGAAAACGTCGCTGATTACTGATAAGCACTGGCGATGACTGATGGACGACCGTGATGCTTTCTTGTTGCTGAATGGCGTTGTGAGCTGAATTATTCTTCGAAAAAGTATACGAATGTGGGTAAGAAACATGCCCTTCGTGTTGTCTATGGCAGTTCTGTACCATGCCTATTCTCTCAAGCACCTTGCCTTCTCGCTTCACAAAACTTTTCTTCGTGCAAAGAAGAAGGGCTCAAAGATTTATCGAGGTTTTTTCGCATACAGAGCTTTCAGATGAGATTAAAACCATAAATTCGGACGGCGTCGTGGAGAGTTTCTCAAGGACAGTCAGGTTAGTGAATGCGACAAACTCCGCAAGTACCTTCTGTTTGCCGCGGAAATCGCTTTTCGTCTTTGACGCTCTGAAGCTAGCTCTGATCTTTATGCTCTTACTACCTCTTGAATTCTACGGCGTTGAAATCATTCAACGATGTTCAAGAAGAACAAACTTCATCATGACACATCTCGTCCCATCTATTAACACTAAGCATAATCTTTACGTCGCAGTTAGTATTCTATCGTTCTTCTTAGGTTTCACTATGACTGAATAGAAGCACTTAAACAATGACGAACCAAAAAAGACTGAAAGGCATTCTTTCTAGATAGAAGATCCTTAATATTTTCAGTAAATAAGATAGCCAGATAGAACTTCTACGAGCTCAAGACACTACCCAAATGCTGATGCTAGCAGCATCTGGTGGTATATTTCTAAAGGATTTTAAAACCAAATTTCTTGGCAGTTTAGTTGTTTTCCAGCTTTTTCGGATTCCCTTTTGTTTTATTTTTGATGCACCATTTATAAGTCAACGAACTAGTGTGAAACGCCGACAATAATAAATGCTCTGGAATTTCATACTAAACCAGTTTGGCATAATTTAGTTAGGATATTTTTATTCCAAGTATTTGTGTCTATTACTAAGGATACCTAGTTTTGTCTGATTGCTTCGATTCGTTACAGAAGTATAGTGGAGTCCAGCGTTGGGCAATCCTATACAAATTCGTCCTCGCTGCAAGTTCATCTTCTGTCAAATTTCGAACAGTTCAGGGCAGCAGCCTTTCCAGGCTGCTAAAAGCGGTTATTGTTGTCGTTCCGCCGTGCTCGAATTCAAGAACATCAAATGAGTGTGGTCCATCTCCTCAACCAACTTCAGAAGATTAGGAAAAACTCCATGTACAGAGCACTGGCAAAGTCCTCATTGTACTGAATGGCAACAGTACTTAGGGACCACAATGATTACCAGACGTCGCATGCTACTGTTTTCCAAAGAAACAATTCCGTGAAGGAACATATGCGTGCTTTCGAGAGTAGATGATTTTTCCCGTGCCTTGATCTTCATGATTCTTAAGAAAAAAGCAGCACTTTTGTTTTTCCACTCCAAAATTATACATTCGTTTAAAGAGATTATAAAGGATCTTTTAAATGTTAGTATGGGTGTTTCCTTTGCTCGAACGGTTTTCTCCTCCTTTTATTGATTACTCACATTCGCTTTCCCTTAATGCCATGGAAACGCTTAAGCAATTAATACACATCATAGTAAATATTTACTGAAGCACTCATGAATCATTCACTCCGAGGGGTTGCATGAGCACTCTGTCCAGAAAAATCATAAACTGCGTAAAAAAGTATTTAATCTTTACATGCACAATACAAAAAATATCTCAGCAAAAGCCTTCCATACGGCAGCTCTAAGTGAATAAGGAAAATCATGAGTCTTCTCTGACATCGCCTAAAAATGATCGAACAGATAATTGGTCTGCAAAAAGCATTTGTGAGAACTCTGACAGACAATTTCACAAAAAGAAACGAAAACAAACGAAGCTCCTACTCGTTGCGACCAAGCGTATTAAATACCTACTTACTTTGATAGTTTGATGGCCCGTTCTCACTGGTTGTCCGGGCCCCAGCATAATCTCCATTTTTTCGGAGTTGTGCTGGTTAAGCCATTATGATTCCCTGGAGTCCCGAGGTCGGTCTGGCTAAAGTCTGCTCCAGCTCGTCATCGCCACAGGCAGTCGTTTCCCTTGTGGATCAGAAGGAGATTTGCTACCATGCGACTAGTTTTGAACCAGGACGGTGCTGCCAGAGGATGAATTCCCCACTGTACATCGCAGTCCGACACCCAGGAACACCTCCCAGCCACGATGAGGCGGTAAACTGTTGGGAGGATGTATTTTATACGGATTTGAAAATCTCTGAAGCTTCATTTGACTGCAAATTTTCAAACAGCGAAATCTAAATCATGAGTCATTTGATTACTGCCGATATTAATAGAAAATCGGTCGTGGAAATTGCAAAAAAGAGCTTTTGCTGTAGAGCAATATAAGCAGACTTTCGGGACACTTTAAAGCAGCTAAAAGAGAACCCGGAACAGCGAGCGTTAAAAATTCATGCGCTCCAGACTAACTTTGGAAACTTTTCCAGATTTTATATGAAGTAGGAATAGACAGAGTGATGGAATAAGGCTATTGAAGCCTTTTTTAAGAGAATTCTCGAAATAGGAAAGTATTTGGTGGGCGTTTGAATGATTTTCTTTAGATTTTCCTTCCGTTTCGAAAATCAGCTTGCAGCAGGCTCTTAACCAACTGTCGCGTGCACCACACACAATCCGCTCTTGCCATAACAACATCCCAAAGAATCAAATCCGCAGCTTCTCATGTTGTTCGCTTTTTATCTAGAAAAGGGTACACCACCTTTCGACGCTAACTCGTCACTCGCATTTGGAAATTTACCTAGCTAATTCTATGTAGCTTATTTGACTCATTTGTTTTGTACGAAAATTTGATAAGATGTCACTAATCCCTCTTGTAGTCTAAAATAAATGCGCTAACCTTTGCTGTTTTTCACGACAGTCTCATTGCTCACTGCACGTGGAAATATCGTCCAAATATAGAAACCGAAAATACCGATACACACGTTGAAGACGACGAACTTGCACACAGCAGACAGATGAGTGGAGGTGAGCAGCTCATTCTCCGTGAAACTGCAATGAAGTGAGTGAGAAGCGACAGAGATGGCGAATGCGAGGTGTTTGTTCTGGAACTGATTCACGAAAGACAGAGCCGCATTCGGATGTCGGTGTGACCCACAAGGGCGAGCAGCTCAGCAGTCGGCCTCCACCACAACCCAACCAGTACAATAAAACGAACACATTCAAGTACTGTGTAGAGTACGGCAGTACGGTGGTAGGGTGGACGACGAAACACCGGCTGCTTGCTAGGCTTCGAATTCTATACTAAGTTTTTAAAAAGTACTTCATCTCATTGTTCATTTCAAAGACTACAATTACTATCTTAACCTTTTTAACTCGTATGAAATGCTGAGATATTTGCAAAACTCCGGACTGCAGGTGTATGCAGTGGGGAACGAACACGCGCTGTTGTCCTTTCCGGGGAGTAACTCTTTCACCATCATACCATGCGGGTCCTTCGTTTCGCCTGTCTCTTAGCTAGTTCTATCGATCTTTTGCCATCAGCAATCACCCGTCAGCGGGTCGATAGAACTAGCCGAGAGACAGGCGAAACGAAGGACCCGCATGGTGTGGTGGTGAACGCGTTAATCCCCGGAAAGGACAATAGCGCGTTCGTTCCACACCGCAGACACCTGCGGTTCGGAGCTTTGCGAATATCTCAGCATTACAATAACTACAATTACTTTTTTCCAATTTGCCTGTCAGAGTCTATAAAATGACAACACTTTTATTCTGTGAGGCTATAATAACAATAAAGGTGCACCAAATTTCCATGCCTTTGAAAACACGGCAGGAAAAGTTAAATATCACTTCCCAACGAGGTTAAAGTAGAGAGAAAACAGAATGAGTAGCTAAAGCCGTATTGGACCTTTTCTGGGATTAAATGAGCTGCCGAATTATTCACGTTTTTCAATGAAAGGATTTTTTCTTAGGAGGTTTCACGACAGCTATAGATTGCGAAAAAATAGGATAAAAGCTTAATGGACATTTTATTGGCTTAGGAAGAGCAGGAATACGAAGTACGGTCAGCACTACTCTTGTGTTAGGTCCATAGTGTAAAATTTGATTTTGTCTTTATTTCCATTTCCACCATCGAATAGAATGTTGAAGAAGAAAGTAGTTTTCACCAATAAGACTAAAACTTCACTCCATAGACTTACATGGAGGATCGTCTAAAATTTCGTGGATACCCAGATTCAACCCGGATCGGTCGCGACGTTTGTTCCGTCTTCCTAGTGCGAGAGCACGATGATCGCGGCGGAGCATCAGTTGGTTGTCGGCCGTTCGCCTGAGGTGATGTCCATCAGACCGAGTTGGCTGTTCTGACGCCAGTCGATTTGTGTTTCCAATAACCGAGGATATTATTTCGATGATTAGGCGACGAGTTAACGACTTAAACACCTAAGCACTTCACAGTCTTGTGGGACAAACTTCGTGCCCTATTACGTTAATGACACGTGCAGTCTTCAAGAGTTATTTCTACTTGTTCGAGTCCAAATACGATAAAATATTAATAAAACACTTTTTTCGAAGGCTCGAGATGAAAACAAGGGCCAAGGGCATCGTGGACATATTCGAGATATTGTGTCTTGCTTGACGGAGTTCCGATAGTATAATAGCTTCCTCAACGACGGAGAACAAAAACAAAGCCAGAAACGGCTCGTTTGTTCGAAAAGCCGACTATTTCACTGTGACGGAATAAGTACTACCTTGCTGACAAATATATGTAAATTCCAGTTGTTATCATCTAAAACAATGAATACAACTGTGAGTCGAGATATGGCTGATGGGAAAATTGGAAGACCAAATCATTTTCGGCAACTCATACTGGACATAGAGATGATCAACTTTTTTTCATATTTGTTCAAACGCGGCGAATAAATCGAATTTCTATGAAGGAGGCGAATTTTGCCTTTTGTGCTATTCGGTACAGTAGTGGGTTAGGAACGAGCTCCAGCAGGCACCAAACTGTAGGGAAAACGATCCTGCGAGCTTAACGATGTGACAGTTCTCACTAATAATTCTAGTTCAGCTAGAATATGAGTTTTGAAAGTCTACGAAGTAAAATTAGCAATATATTTCGTTTTCACCATTAACACTCCTAAGTACGTCCAAGTATAAGTGAACATAAGCACACCTGCTGTTTTCGTTTAGGTTGGCCATATTGTAGTAAAGCGTCGACGAAAATCTTTGAGATCTTTGTCTTCAATCTGAAATAACCAACGTTCACTTGTGTTGGAAATTGTTACCCCCACCCCATCTTCCTCCTCTTTTGCTCTGTGCTATGTAAAGATAGTTGAAAGACATTAGGGAAATTGAAAATTCGATTATGCTTTTAATTGTACACCACTTTAACTTCTTTTGCTTTGTTTTGTACTGAAGTAACCATGAACTGTCACTGTGGCTGCTACTCATCCACCTCTCATCTCAAAGTTTTTGCCTTTCATAGCGATTCTCTGTTTGTTTTTGACAAACGAAAAACCGTCGACTCTCAAGATGTTTGTATAGCATTTCACTGACAACATTTGTGAAGAGTCAACACTCGCGACCACGATTGCTCAGCTGTGTCAGTGACGAATTTCAGGATTCGTACCATCAAGTGCACTACGTTTCACCACTGCTTCGAACGAGGCAAATGCAAAGGCAATATAGGTGACATCTGAGACACTTTTGGTAGTGGTATCATCAGGTGGCTGACACTGGGAAACAAGAAAGACATTGTTAAGAAAAGCCATTAACGGTATCTTTTACAGATATTTACACCATATATTTCAAATCCATCAAGCAATAAATAAACATCTTTATCGGATTTTTTTAAATAGGAAATCTAAGGATAGCAGTCATAACGCACTCACAGTGGCAACCAGCAGTCAGCAACGATGTGGCGAAAAGATTGCTGGGATTGGAAACTATTTAGTCAGTTGTATATCGTGGAAAGAACACTCAACTAACGACGGAAATATGGGCAAACATTCTCGGTCACCAGTTGTACGCCCAAGTTAATTTATTCGACACCCGTGCAAAAGCAATGCCGATTTTTTGTGGAGAGAAAACGTAGCGAAGACCAAGATAACAAGAAACACACCAGTTGGAATAGAGATGCTACAAGGTAATTATATAAGTATTCGAGCTGTGAAAATGGGCTAGAATCAATTAGGAACAGCTTACAATGCCTATTGCTCACGTGTGAGGTTTTCATTGATGCTCTTCAATGTACTCAGGAATCAGTTCGTGTTCATCGGTTCTACACAGTGCCACCGCGAGACAACAATCTACTAGAGAGTAACTCAAGGCTTAAGCGTTGGATGATGACCTGTAGATTGAAATTCCGATAACCTTCCACGGTTTCTCGAACGCATTGTATGTCAGAACAACTTGATGTAGGTAACAGTGTACAAGTTCTTCCATTAAAGCGCTCAGATCAAGTTATCCACACATAGATCCAAATGTCTCATTGATCACGACATCCTCGTTTTTATGGATGCCTTTTGCATCGTAGCTATTTCTACTTCTGGTGAATCAGATCTTGATATGAACTATAATCCTTCCTCAATCAATATTTTGCCGGTGCAATGTTGTTGCAAGGTGACCTTGGTTGTCGAACTACAATATACAACAGTGGTCTATCCCCTCGTGAAGTCTCTCAAATTGAGGTAACCAGTATTTTTATCGAATGCATCTAAGTGTAAACCTAAGTGAAATACAAAGTTAAATAAACTTTTGGTGGTTCTTTTATTTCCAAAAACGGGTAAAAAAGGGCATACCGCCGAAAGTGCGTTGTTTTTCGTGCTCTTTGTTATCTACGGCCTATCTTGCGTTGTGGAGATAAGTGAAGTTTGCTACTATCTACTCGATTTATTGAGGAATAAATAAGGCCGCAAGTGATACCTGTGAGTTTTTTCTATTTTAAATGACCGGTCATCACATTTACTGTGCGGATCCTAGCACTTCTTCCATTCGATTCGTTTCCTCGAATCCACAGTGGTCCTCGAACACTTCGCGTGTTGGTTGTTTTAGTTGATGCTTGAGTGTTTCGCCTTCTTTATTAATATTGTAGAAAGCCGGTCGAGTTAATGCTCGTTGCAATTTCCTATATAGCCGGGTTAAGGCGTCAGCACGTGGATTGGAGGATATCGTTGGTGCAGGATCGAACTAGCTTGTTTTCCTTCCTGACAGAGGGCTTCAGTTACCACTGCGTTATCACCACCTGTATACCTGTGATATTAATCGAAGTCAAATGTGTCAATCTTGAGGCTATGGCCAAGCATATAAAAGCTCTTCCTTGAAACAAAGTTAGTTGGAGCTCTATTCGTAGGTGAAATCGGCCACAGCAGTCGAAATAGCAAAAAGAACTGTTTTTGAGAAGTTCAATAGAATTAAAAGTGAGGAGGGCCGCATTCGGAACTCGGATCAGACCTTTGACCTATTTCGCTGAAGTTCAGCGGAGTTGAATCACTGATGACGCGATGTTTTCTTCGGAGCAAACAACTTCCGCACCCTTCCAAATAGTAATTACAACACATAAATGTCTGGATCTGGTTTTTCGACAATCGACGGCAATTTCTGGGTAGCTGAAGTATTTGAAGTGTTGCGAAGTCCATAGATTTATACAGTTTTCGAACCAAATGCATTCGATTCAATGCATCTCGGCCATTACACGTTAACATCGGTCTATATCACAGGCGCGAAGACTTCAATTGGGGCAGGCATCGATTTTTACAACAGAAAGGAGTAACGACTGCAAAATTCAAATTTAAAAACTCATTGTATTATAGATCTTTTCACCTTATGAATACAAATTGTAGTGGTAATAATTCGATGTTCACGAAAAGGAAATAGAGAAAAGCGAGTGATGAACTAGTCAAACTACGGTTCCCGAAGTTTTGAAGCCATTTGCTATCCAAATCTTGCATTCCTGGGTTGCTTTATTAACTCTCTTTTTTTATTACTCTACGATCTGATGTCGGTGCATATACATAGACGATTCGAATTTTTTCATGACCATAACTAAACGAATCAAGCAAGTTGAAGAGAGATGATTAAATTAAACCAGAGAAAAATAGTTCCCAGGATCGATTTTCTATTAGCCTCGGCATTGGATTATAAATAAAGATATAGAAAATATAATATAGAGTATGGTATAAAATGGAGAAAAGTCGCAAACGGGGAAGTTGCGACGTCATTTGAGGACATTCCCTATGGCCTGATGTCGATTGGGCTTAAATTAAATAACAGTATGACCAGTTGCAGTCTGAAAGCGAGAGCAGATTTTTGATGTAATCGAATTTAAGTTAGTCATAATCGAATTTGAGTTCAAGCGGTCCTAAAGAGTAAGTAGGGAGAGTGCAGGAATAACTGGTACATCTCAAAGCGGATTACTTGTGTAAATTTATTAGTAGCGTGGGATATGAAATTCCTTCAGTATTTTCAATTACTCTCTAGATGAAACCTCTAACACGAGAAACACTACCAGACTTTATATTCTTGTTTAGCAAAGGCGAGAAGTTATTCCTTCTTTATTTAAGCACAAACCTACTTTTCGGCGGTTTTCGTCTTTCTCAGATCCTGGAAAGGTCGAGTTACCCACAATCTACCCAGCCAAAAACCTCCATAACAAAACAGAGAAAATTCTAAACCAAGATTTCAATCACATTGTGGAACAATTGCTCAACAAAAATATAAAGAACTGTTCGATCAATTTCAAGTTAACAGAAATTTGGTCCTTGGAGTTACTATCGGGGTTATTATTTTTCACCACAAACAATTGAGCACACTCTTTTCTATTCCGCTCTGTCATGTAATGAATAAGAATTGGAAAATTGAATGAAAGGAACCGAGCACTTCTCCGAAGTATTCAATTAAGTTTCATTCCCATGGGAAGACCTGAACAAGTGTACTGAGGAAGATTACTACAGCAACTCCACGACTTCCTCTCCCTGAAATCGACCTTAACGGAAACTTCTCTGGAATGATATAAAACCTACAAGTTTTTCGAGACACATCCTCCTAGATTTAGTCATAAAATGTGAAGTAAGTCGAGAGAAGGGTGCATAGAAATGCCATACAGTTGCTGCTTCAACGCAGCAGCGTTTTGAGTGATTGTCCTATCCTTATGATCTACAAATGTCAGCTACTGCTTGAGGACTAAAGAAAAAATCATCTCATCTAGATTTCAAGAACATTGATAAGGAAGGAAATTCTTCGTTGAGAACCTGACACGCAAGCGAATCGGAAGACATTCGTGGATGACGCATGTGCGACGGTAAGCCGAGTGAATGGAACGTGTATGATGTTATGGAAATAAGTAAATAATTGAAAGTTGTAGTTAGTACAATGCCACTGGCACAGCTTTTGCCTTCCGAAACGCTCTGTCTAATGCAGTAATGTGCTCACACGCATTACGAGCGTGTTTTTCTCCACTTTAACTCGAGACATGCTTTCCTTTTTCATAAACATTCCTCTGGAGAATAAAGGTCCAATTAGGAATAAAGATGTGCACGAGGCAAAAACCATAATATTCCCAATTGTTGTGATAAGTAGAAAAGCAGTAAAAGATAGAGAGAAGCCTAAATAAGAGGATCAATGTGCTGCACTTCCTGTAGGCAGTTGAGTGCAGCTGCAATCAGCTTATCGTCGTTTGCATGAGAGAAGACAAAAATATAGAACTGTGCTAACTATAGGCTAATCACTAGAAAACAACAAAAACTTAACCCATTTAAGAATTTATAGACTATAACCCTGGAAAAAGACATTTCCAGCCAGACTCCAATAAGGTTGGCAACCGATTTCTGCATACTCGTATGGTTTATGATAGATTAGTACTGCTAACAATTAGGACGTGAAAATAGAACGATTCAGTATTTTATTAGGCAGTTTTTTTATATTTATAGCTATCAGTGTATAGATTGATGTGAATCAATAACAAATGAGTGGTGCACATGTGGTCCTCCTTCGGAATGATGCTCGGCGTCGCCATTTCCGAAGAGGATCGTATGATCGACGAATGTTTATTAGCCGCTGTTAGAAAAGTTCCAGCTATTTAACCTCACCAAAAAATTTCTATTCAGGAAAGAAAAAGAAAATTTTTATTTGAGAGCGAGCATACACATTTGGTTTTAAATAGATCGGCACGCTTGGAGGCGTTGAGAACTTGGGCTTAGCTCTGGTCATAGGTTTTATGACCGTCGTTTTCAAAAAAAGTCCGGATCT